TTAGAAGTGCACAACTGTCTGGTTGAACACTTAGAAGTGCACAACTGTCTAGTTGAACACTTGCAAGTGCTTAACTGTCGTGTTGAGCACTTGGAAGTGTTTATCTAGTAGTTGAACACTTGCAAGTGTTGAACAGTTGAACACTTAGTTTAACAGTGTAAGGTTAATTCAGGGATTACCATAAAGCTATGGTTGAGGTAACGTGATTATGGTTGAGCGAACTAAAATATTGTTCTGCCAACTATAATATTAATTTTTCAACCATAATTATGGTAATCCTTGAATTAACCTTACTATGGTTGCTACAACTTTTCTTTTTTCTGGGTGCAGGCCCCCAGGCCCCTGGGCCCCCTGGGCCTTAGGTCGCCAGGGCCCCGGTGTGACGCCCCTTGCAACTGACTTGACTGACTTGACTGACTGACTTGTGGTCACTCTGCACGGGCCCCCGGGGCCCTGGGCCCCCAGGCCCCCGGGCCGGCCCCAGGTCCCCAGGCCCCCGGACCTCTAGGCTCCCGGCTCAGCCTCGGCCACGGGCCCAAGGCCAGGCCGCTATGTCCACAAGCCCGGCGCGCCCCGTTCAGGCAGGCCCCCTCCGGGGGCCCAAAGGGCCCCCCCGCAAGGGAGGCCCACGCGGGATTTCCCACCGACCCGGCCTGTCCAGCCCGTGCCTGGAGTGTGGTAACAATCACCCTCGCCCCACCAGCCCACGAGGCCTGCGCCGCCAGCCGCCACGACGCGCCACCCCCAAACTCGCGAAACAACCTCACAACGTCACTCTGCGCTACGCCACGCATTGGGACAACCTTATTAAAGTCTTTAAGTGGCTACGACATACCTCCACATTGAGCTCTGATTACTCAACTAAAAATCTGTTGCTGTAATCTCCGTATGTGGGATCCACATTTGCACTTTGACAGCAAAACACGGGCGTAGTTAAGTCCCGCCCACTCACAAACCACAACTTCATTTATATGTGAACCACACATCTAAACCAAACGACAGTCCAAAGTTTATTCATATTTCTTTTTCTTTAACCATGGGTTCGTTTATCATTTAACATAAAATGTTAAAGTTTTTTTAAAAAAAAAAAAAAAAAAAAAAAAGAATGTTTCCAGCAAACAGAGTGCTTTGGAGGCTGAATAAGGCTATGGCCATGCCTGATGTATGGTGACACCAAAGTTGCTTGTATGAGCCAGCATTACTAGATGCAAATGATTGGTACCAATTTGTTTGATACCCCTGATAAAAAGTGCCAGCTTCTTAACTAAAAATTAAAGAGCCACACAAACATATACATACATAATACTGCCGTTGACTCTTAGCTTGGAATGTGTTTTGAAATAAAGTGACAAAGTGTCCGTGTCCGCGCCCAAAATGACAGCCAAGCCACATCAAAATAACTGTTAAGTAACTATAAAGGTTTCATTTTATAACATTGAAATCATCTCTAGTATGTTAATAAAATCAATAGCTGTTTGATTAATTGACAATTTAAAAACTTGACACTTTCCGCTGATTTAGTTTTAGTTAAAGCACTTGATTGTCTTGAGCGACACATGGATTAAGATGATATGTAAACCTTTCCAGGCGACAGGTTTAAGTGTCGCCTTAAAATGGATACATGGTACGGACTTTATGGAAACAAAATTATAAGTCTCCTGTGAGGGTATCAGATCTAAAGTTTTCTGTGTTGCCAAAATAGGTGATGCGGCATCTAAAGCCTTCTAATTTTAAAATGTAAAAAAAATTGAAAGATTTTTAATAAGAAGTTCTGGTTTACTTCCTGGATCATAGGAAACTCAAACTCATAACATACTTTGGCCGATTATTTCAGCTAATATTTTAAATTTTAAACTTAAAAATGCACCTACACACACTAACCTCAATATGTAAACAATAACAGGTATTTTCTATCTTTGAGCCAACAATATTATCCTTAGTGAGGGCCAGGGACTGCCATATATCATATTTGCTCCAACTTTATTCTAATAAGGGTTGGACACCAACCATATTGTATTGTTGATTCAGAATTCTGGCAAGAGAGTTGCCATCAACTATATCCGAGTCTTTTTAGACTCTGATTAGAGATTGGATCAAGAAAACAAGAAGCAAGAAAATAATACTTGTTTAACTGTGAATGTCTCCTTTGAAAAGCTAAAAGCCCTGTCCTGATTAGCATTACAATATGCAAATCACTGGCATCAATTCATTCTATGCACATGATAAACAGTGGTAGCTTTCTAGCTTAAAAACTAAAGGGCTACACAAACATATGTATACATAATATTTTTGTTGTCTTCTTACTTCAAATAAATTCTGAACTGAAGCAACAATAATTTTTCTGCCCAAATTGACAGCGACAGCACAGCCACATCAATGTAAAAAAGCACTTTGCTGAGTGGAACAATTGGATTAATAGACCATTCCACCCGAAGCAGAAGAAGAACACAAAGAATCAAAATCTACCGGAAACAGTATCGATAAACAGCTCATAGATCACATTTTAGCACCTCTGTTAGATACCAAATGGTACTTTACAATTTTAACTGCCAAAAGAAGTAAGAAATGTTTGACGTAAGAGCTGTTTCTAGTATCTGTTTCCGGTACTTTTTGATTCCTTTTGTTCTTCTTCCTCTTTCGGTGGAATGGTCTATTCTGATATGAGCATGAACATTTTCTAGTCACTCAGAATTGGCCTTGACCAGAAAAAAAGAATTACTTGTAGGTCGAAAACCAGAAA